CGCCGCCCCCGGCTTGGGGTGGCTGCTGATAGCCAGGGAGCCTGGGCTGCTCCCATGGAAGCCCTGCTGCAAGCCAGGGCTCCGTGGCTATCAGCAGCTACCCAGAACCTGACTTATCTGCAAACATCTGCTGCCTCTCTGACCCAGCTCTGGCCCCAGCCCCAGCTGCCTCCCAGACCTGGCCGCAGACTCTGGGGAGGCAGCACATACCGGCGATGCTCCCCACTGTGCTGCCCTCGCCATTTCTGCAAAGCAGTGTTGGAACCCGGTGCAGCAGGGGGCACAGAAAGCTGCCTGCTTCACTTCTCCTGCAGGCTGGGGCAGCAGTGGGCAGCAGCAGCGGGGGGTACAACTCTGCACTGCTGCCCACGCTGCTTCTGTGCACACAGGGGAAGTGTGGCAGGGCAGCGGGGAGCTCGGAGCAGCCAGCTTTTTGTACCCCCGCTGTGCCCTGCTGCACTGGGTTCCAACGCTGCTTTGCAGAAGCAGTGAGGGCAGCACAGTGGGGCATCGCTGGTATGTGCTGCCTCCCCGGAGCCCGGGGCTGGGAGGCAGCTGGGGCCGGGGAAGAGAGGCAGCAGAGGTTTGCAGTTGATCCAGGTTCTGGGTAGCTGCTGACAGCCACAGGACCTGGGCTGGGGGGGGCGGGGCAGGCGGGCTGGGCTGGGGGGGCAGGGGCAGCAGGGCTGGGGGCAAGGGCTTTGGGTGGGAGGCAAGGGTCATGAGCAGGGCTGGGGGGCAGCAGGGCTGGGGGCAAGGGGCACAAGCAGGGCGTCCTGCCATGTACCCCCTGCCCTCATTTTGTTTTTCTGGCATGCCGGCACTCTGGCACCTTCCAAGGTAGGCATTGTGGGGTTTTTCGGCACTCCGGCCAAAAAACGTTGCCTGCCCCTGTGTTAGAAGATGGATATTTAAAGCTTCTTCAGGGTATCCAGCTGCAGAAAGAAATATTTATAGGCCTCATATCAGTAGACCCTGGGCACATCTACATGAGACGTTTAATGCGCACTTGATTAACTGCATAGTAAACGTTTCAGCGTCTACAGGTGTGCACACAAAACTAATAAAATCTGCAGCAGAGTAGGACTTGTAAATACATGCAGCAGCAAGTGTAGATGCTAACCAGCTGGCTGGGGCATGAGGGTGCTTCAGTGCCAGGGCTACCTGCTGGGTAGCCCTGTGTTGAAGCACCCCTGTGCCTCAGCAAGCCCCTCTGCAGCACACTGAGCCTAGCCAGAGCAGCTGTGGTCCAGGTACACATGCAGACGTGCGCCTGGAAGCTTTCCAGGAGCAATAATCTGCGAAACAATACACTCCACTGTCTAGTGCTGTCCCGTAATAGCATATGTAGATCCCCCCCAATAACATTTTTGAAACTCTTTGGACATCTGTCAGTAAATATGCTCTGTGTTACACATATAATGACTACAGAATTTCATGTATTTGCTGTACTAAATGAATCCAGCATTTCAAATTTTATACTTTCTGGGAAGCAATGAAGAGATGAATCTGTGAGAATGCACCATGAAGACTGTCCTTGGTCCAGCTGGAAAATACACAGTGCAATAATTTTAGAAAGCAAGCCTAGAAAAATATGCTCATGTAGCCCTACTAGTATTGAGGTTGTACAGATGGTTTTTCATCGGAGGTCCCTCAAGTGTTTTACAAAGGTGAGTTAGCATTATTATCACCAAATGGCAGATGGGGAAACTAAGGTAGACACCTTAGCTCAACCAGCTTCACAAAGCAAACAGCAAGTTTCAGCATCAGGAAAGGATCCCAGATCTTCTGACTTCTCTTTTCATCAGTAAATAGTTCCCAAGCACATTTTAAAATGAATTCCCTTGAGCTACTGCTACATTCTCTTACAGTGCACTGGATTAAGATTCAGCAATCCGGAGTTTCTTTCTAGTTTTGCATCTGGCTTGCCAGGTAATGATGGGCAAATCACTTAACTTTTCTGTCTCAGCTTCCCCATCTGAAAAATGGAGGTAACAATATGGACTTTCTTTGTAAAGCACTTTGAGATCTGCTGACAAGAAGTGGTATAGCAGAACCAGCTAGTTCTCTTTTTATACCTATTTGATAAAAGACTGTTATATACTAAAGGAAATACTTATTATTTGATAGAAAATAATACAAAAGATCTTCCACAGCAAACTGTGAATCAGTGCAGTGGTACGTTTGCAGAAGGCTGCCTGAGAAATCTATCCCTGCAGAACCATTACAAAACCTTGTTTACAGACAGTAGTTTCTTCAATCATTCATTTCCACCCAAGTCATTTTATCTTTATTTCTGTAAAATAAATGAATGAGGGGGTGCAAAGATCTGTGGGTGTAAGCTCTGAGAGACCAGAAAACAGCAGGCATGCTAGGTATACCTATCTAAATTTGCATTACCTGAATGGGAAAGCAAGACAATTCTCTTTATATCTGGCAAATATTCTCTTGAGAATTTTAAACAGAGGAACAGGAGCTAAAAACTTTGCCTCCCACCCCCAGGGCAAAAGCTGGAAGCCTCTTCATTTCTGGAGGGCTGAGACTCTCACATTACTATTTATTCCACAGAGCAAGGTCTCACCCACTGTGCACGCATCTCGTGCTTCTGGCACAATGCGGGTTCAGCTTAGTTCCAAGTTTGACTCCAGATGTATACAACATCCTTCTTTTTGGTGCCTTGCTTGTGGGATGAGACTAGAAATTCATGGTTGTGGAGGTGGGGCACCTTGAGACATATGTTTGAGGAGGAGGGGATCCTTCATAAGACAGGTAGGTGCTGCAGGTTTCATGGACCTGGCTCCATTACACAGAAACCAGAAACTTTTCCTCCTTGTGGCCCATCATTACTCATTAACAGCTTTGCAAACCCCCTACTGTCAAGATGTTCAACATCTGAGCTCACACTGGGGGTAGGATTCTCTCCTAAGAATACAGGGAAGTAAAGGTAGAGATTGTCACATTTCTGACATTTTTTCCTGTCTCCTTCCAGGGGACTTTGCAAAAAAAAAAAAAAAAAAAGAGAGATCCCCAAATACAATTCAGATCCAGTCAAGTGAACTTGTGTTAACCACAGCTTAAACAGTGAACTCCAGCTAAGTTATGATTCTTTAAAGTTGCATAGATCCTGCACTTGCCATTGAGAGTTCAAAGCCTGCCAGCTTTCATGAAACCACAGTCTATGGCTGGGTGCTTTAAAGGCAGTATACATTTAAAGTCCACTAGCAGCCTTCAGCTATATTGGATGGCATTATACATCCTTCTTCAAATACAGAACTACATACCAGAATATAATACCTGCTGCTTTAAACTGTCCTCTTGCATCACAGAAGTTGGTACTTTAGCACTTCTGCATTTAAAAAGATTCCACAGAACGCTCTCTATGAAAATAATTGCACATGGCCTTTTGTTTCTGAACTCCTTTAATCTTTCTATGAGATAGAGCCACCATAATTAAATGCAGTATTCTGGATGTCAAACTGAAATTCATGGCTCTGATAAATATTAGGCGATTAAGCTATTTATAAAATATATAATTTGAAAATCTGGCATTTAATTTTACATGACTATTATTTCCTCTGTGCAAGTACTGCTCTCCACATGGATTGCCCTGCTAGAAAAGAAAATTAATAAGGATGTTCTGTAGAAAGTTTTAAACTATTTTGAAAATTCAAATGAACATAGACAAAGTCTCCTTGGGAAGAAAGCAATGTAAAAATACTTTTACAAGTAAAGTGATTTCATTATCCTCTTTGAAAATGACTTGCTTGCTTTGTGAACAACTCCCACTGCAAATCTTGGAAACCTCACTGAGTCTTATGATAATAAGGAACCTTTTCTATTTAGTGATACAGTTAAAAAGCTCCTACCAGAAGGTCCACCATGTTAGGCTTATTATTCCTCAGTGTCTTCACAGCATGGAATACATCAACTGCCCTCTGGTGTCGAAGCATTTCACAAACAATGCTGATTGCACAAAATGTCCCACTGCGGCCACCTCCATTTCTAGAATAAAAGTGATAAAATGGCTCCATTATTTTTCACTACGCTACTAGTTCCTGTAGTGTCTGAATGTTTTACAAAATGAACTAATTCAAATATTGATGCACCAATAAATAATAATGCCTCTAAAGCCTGGAGAACTCTAACAGGGCTACCATTTCTAAGTGAGAATAATGGGCTAAATTACTCAAAATGTCCATTTCAGAATACACCACCCTTGGGGAAGAGCTATGGGTAACCCAGTGTTTCAGTTTTGCTGTAGTGTTTGTGTCTGCCTAAAGAGGTGTTAAAATAACTATGCATATCCACATCCTAAACAATGTCCCTTGACACTTCCCATGGCACCATAGTTAAGTGAAAATAATACCCAAAAGGGTTCAAGTAATTTATGGATTTAGAGGTTTGGCTTGGGACTGGTTTCAAATGTTTCTGTTCTAGATGATGACACCTTACCTTTGAACTTGAGAATCTCAGAGGATCTCGGAATAATAAAAGACCTGCCCAATCTTTCGTGTAACCTTGTTTTGTTTGCTGCAGTTTTGACACCACTAGGTGGTGCTGCAATATTCCACTAGGCATGGCATGACCCTTGTGCCACCAGGTAGGGGTACCAGCTCCATAGGAATGATTGCTATTATAACTGCTTGTGTTCCCCCTCCACCTACATTTTCAGAGGCTGAGAACCCAAAAAGATTTGGTAATAAAGCAGTGAGGTGCAAATATTCATATTGTATGATCAAATGCAGTATTTAATAATGCTTTATCTTCAGTTATTTTTAATCTTCAAGAGAATCTGGAAAACCTATTATTTCTGCAGTTATTCTAATCAGAGTCTTTAAGCAGCACTTTCCTGAAAATAATAAACCTTAATAATTACCAGAGTACAGACTAGTTAGCTAGCAGGTCTTTCAAACCAGCAAATGGTTGATTTTCAAAGGAAGCCACTATGTCGCACATCTGTCACACCCAGGCAGTATGAAAAGAATGCTCTCTGCTGCCAAAACATTGGCTGATATTGTGGGAATCTCTGAGAATTTTAATTAAAATAAAGTAATATAAAAGGATTATATTAGAGCCTTTTCTTTCTTTGCTGTCTGGAAGTGACGCGTGTGTGATGTTGTACAACTATTTAATATCATCAGCAACTGCAGAGATAACAGTAATTTGCACTTCAAAAGGGCCTTTCAGCTGAAGATCTCAAAACATTAATTAGTTACACCGTACAATACTCCTTTGATGTATATATTATTATCCCCATTCTACAGATGGAGAAACTGAAGTACAAAGATGCCAGATGACTTGTCCAAGTCAGTAACAGTGGGAAATATAGAGAAACTTTTATATTTACCTCTTTAGTTTCTAATTTCTATTAAACATAAAAAGAATTGTAAGAACATTATTTTCTAATCTAGGTCACAATTCATAAAAGCACTTAAGCATGTGCTTAAGCCCATCCTTAACCAGGACAGCACTTTTAAACAAGCACCTAATTTGAACAGGAATGTTTTCCTGAATTCCAGCTTCAGGTGCAGAAGATTCCACCCTGCAATTACAGCTAGAGTTGAGGGCATGTTACAAGGAACCCGTCCTAATAGACGGATAGTGGAACAGACAAAATAATGGAACAGAGCAGATGAGCATAGACATTTTGGGACACAGATTGGTAAGTATTATGCTGCTGTGATAAAACATATGTCAATGATTGTTTAACTAGATCCTCCTCCTTAGTTTATCACTTCTCAAATAGTGCAGTTGTTTGTGTTTGGAGATGACTTTACTCAATCTACTTTTGTCTTAATTTTGTTCTGCCAGTTATGAATTACAGATGACAAGCATTCTTAATTTGTGCGGCAAAAGTTCATTTTGCCTTCTTAAAGGTCAGGGTTTCTTAAAATGTATACTCTGGGGCATGTGTACATACACATTTGTGTATATAGACACAGAATCATCCCTACATAGACAGGGTAAACTTTTGGCCCTCAGACCTGCACATGGGGCCCTCAAGTGACAGGCTTCCAAGGTTCTTCCAAAGAACATTAATGGAAACTCCCAAATTCACACAAATGCTGATCAACGTTGAAGTGATCTCCTACGTACTTCAATTCCAAATTCATGGGTTAATTATATGGATGTCTCTTATTCTTTTGCAAATCTTTTAAAACCCAACATACATATCTCTTCATATTGTTCCCTTGCTTGTTTACTTTCATTTCAACTACTTACAAACAGTGTACGACTGTACGTCCCTCCCCTCCATTGTATTCTTCCTGCCATTTCTCCACCTGACGGATAAGTTTTAAGAAAGAGCGTTTGGACACTGGAGTATCCCTGTACATGGGCCATCCCAGGAACTGAAATTGTTGCACCATCCGATATCCATCTTGGGGCTGCAAACATCCAACCAACAAGAAGGAAAAAAAACAAGGCATTACTTACATTGTCTTCAATGGTATATAATTTAAGCATTCTCATCAATGTGAAAAGTTGTTGAAGCAGATCTCAGCTGACAAATTACTAAAATAATTTCAACTGCCCTTGAGAGTTATGGGTTTTAATCTTCAGCAGGGTTATTAAGAACAAGATGTTTTAAATAGAAGGAATACACATAGACTAGAATAGAACAATGGGACAGCTGCAAGAGGCAGGTGAATAATGAATTAATGTTATTAATGCCAAACGTAGGTTGCAGTACAATTTCATTTTAACCTTTGTTTTTCCCCAAGATCATAAGATCCAGGTTTATGAAAAACCTTTCCATATTTCCATGCTATTTTTTTTAAAGATAGTTTGAGTGAAACCTTTCAAGTCATTTTTGAAGCAGGTAAGAGTGAACAAATGGATTTCTCCTGTTAAAAAACATCTAACTGCAGCACTCTGTTGAAAGAGCTGAAGTTTGAAGCCTGCTGGTGGAAAACCTTCTGAACAGGAGTTTGCTCTGCTGATTAAAAAAGAAGGGTAAAGGAAAAGGGTAAGTGTTACAAAATTGTGGTAATCTTTAAAGGTCACAATAAGTAGGCAGAGGTCAAAATGCTATTATAGATTATTTAGCATTTTCACTTTCATGAAATGTGTGACCACATTTAAGTACCATTTTTACATTTAATGATATATGAAAGTGTCAGCAATACAACAATATGAGCTATGTTATAAAAAGTCGGAACAGATGCAAGTCAGATTGGCACTTCAAATACAGAAGAACTGGGGCAATGTAATCTGTGCCTGTATGGGCTTTGCCTGTTCTCCTGGTCAGCCCTTCCAGTAACTTCCCCTCCTCTCCAATTAGCACATAAATCAGCATGTAAATACAAGTAATATTTTGCATGGAGTTTTTTACTCCGCAGCAGTACACATGTATAATCCCAGCCTGCTGGCTAGCCCCACAGTGGAGCTCCCTCATGCCCCAGCCAGTCCCTCCATAGTACAATGAACTGTGGGGAGCAGCCCTGGGCTGGCAGGCTGAACCCCAGGACCCCTGCCAGCCAGGGCTGCTCCAACCAGGCTCAATGCACTGCAGTCCTGGGTACATGTTCAAACGGCGCACCTGGGAACAATAAACTCTAGCATAATATGCACCAGTGTTTATGGCTTTGCATTAATTGCATGTGTAGATATGACCAGGAATTATTAAAACACATACATCTGTTAACACTTCCTGGATGCTTGGGTTTTTACACTGTAGACATTACTGGAAGTCTGCTGGTTTCCATCCTGCTGGCTTCAATCTGCGCAACTGATTCAGCCTGGCTCTCTGGTATGGGAAGTTGTGTCCCATGTATCTTTTCAGCCTTTTTCAAGGGTTGGCCCTCAATGGGCCCTTGACTGACTCAGACTTTTCTGACTAACTATGGAATGCTGCCTATCCCCTCACTTCTCTTGAGGATGGCTTCTCACTTCACTTGAAGGGCGGTCTCAGTGTATTCCAAGAGACTGCTCTGTATGGATGGGAAAGGATGGCTGATCTACTGCCTAAGGGTTGGGAAAGGATGTCTTATTTGCTCTGTTGGGCTAGGGACAGAAATTACACATAAAACAGTATAAGTGATCAGAAACTGGTTCAAATCTGTAACACAACAGAAGTTCAATACACATTAACCACTTTCAAAATGGCCGAAACAGGTTTAAGATAAACCTGGATGGATGTAGTATCAGACTTCACTGATCTAGGTTACATCAGTTTATTGAACTTTTGTCCCAAATCCCCTCTAGATTCAAGTTAACTCACACTCCCTCAGCATCCTAGGATGCTTTGTACCTCCCCTGCAACTCCCCCTTGCAGGGTGGGTAGGCTAGCCTTGGCCCAAGCTGTCTATTCCCTCCTAGCAGGATGTGCTCTAGCACCCCCAGCTTCTGGCATGGGCTACTGCAGGCATGTGCCTGCATTTCTGGAATCAAAAGTGAAGGTCTGTTCACTTGCTTATCAGTTCAGTCTGCGCAGCTTAGACTAACCTGCAACGATTGAACTGATTCAGCCTTGGGCTTTTTGAATGTCTGTACTTAATTAACCCTGCTGCTGATTTTATGGAGACATGGGAGCAGTACTAAACTATGAGCGTTGTACCTCCTTAAACTATTTCTTTGGAAGGTGCACATGTTAACTGGTGCATTTAAATGTGTGCGCACACATCTGGTATGGGTCAGAAACATAAGAAACATACCTGCCTTCTTTACTCTAGTTAAAGAGTCAGGTAATTAAGCACAGAAAGATGCATTCTTCAATCATAAGCATAAAAAGATGCAAAACCTATAGTCTTTAAAAAAAGGCCAAGTGAGTTTTGGGGTCCTAACTTAGGACATCTTAAGGGGGACTGATTTTCAGAAAGTTGATGCACCAACACTTTGTAAGAATCCAGCTGCTCTAAGGTTAGGCAATCTGGAAAATAAAAATGAAGGTACCTAAATTAATCAATACTTAGTATTGAAAATCTAGGTCAGATTTCTTCCACTGAAGCCATATGTCCACAAGCTGTTTTTTTCTAACCTTTATTTCTGGCTATGTTTATTCACTAAGTTTGAACACTGTTTTTAAGATGGAGAAACCATATATACAAATGTGCAGAATGCCTGAGTTAACACAGATTTAACAACATTGATTTTATTATTTCCTGCTTACAGTACAATTTCAATGCTGCATTTGTCTCATTTACATTTAATAAACATAACAAATGCATCTGGCAGAAACAATATTTCTCCTCTGATTACATATATGTGAACTTATTCTGATTATATGTATGAACTCTATAACATTTGCAGGCTGAGGAAAGTGAGCTGCTGCATGGGTGTTTATCTTTTGCTTCATGTGATCTTAGTGGTTTTTCCATTTAATCAGATAAGACTATTGCATTTGGTAAATAAGGTCCTTACTCTGGCTGCATTATAAATTCGGAATATTCGGCTAATTATGTCTTCCTCTAAATCAGCTGATACAAATTCCACTTGAATAGGACCATGTCGGTGCACTCCATTTTCTGGCCAGTACTGGGGACATAACTAGTGAAAATCAAAAAAAGAGAGACAAGTTTATTTATAAGAACTGTGTGAAGGCATTTTCCCTGTTTTTGAATAAATATTGTTTTAATTAAATGTGTTTTACCTCATTTATACTTTTCTGCTTTTTAAAGTGTTACTAAAAACCCTGCACATTATTTAAAAAATGCAGTTCCCAATATCTGAGCCAGTTTTACAACATCCCATTATACCTTTGCAAAATAAACTGAACCAAATACATTCTGACAGACCTGAACCTCACGGTTACACCCATAATTCTTTATAGAGTTTGAAATCACATTTCTTCACCCAGTTTTGATTAAAGAACAAGATACTGCATTTCCTTGCATATGACATGCCCCCAAATATAGTACACATCTTGCCTCTGAAAGGCACAATGAAATTAAAGACATCTTTCCTTGAAGCAAGGAACTGAGCAGCAGCAGCTGGGCCTGCTCAATTCTTTTGCTCCTTATGGATTACTGCAGATATTAATTTTGGTTTTGCCTGGTAAGGCAGAACCTGCTCTTACTGTATTTCTCACACATAATGCACACTCCAATTTTCAGCAGCTGTTTTGGGGGGCAGGAAAGGTACATGTTGTATGAAAGAAAATATGGTACAACAGAACATAGGGATGCTATATTAAGCACATCTAAAGTATGAGGTGAGACATGAGAGCAAAGACCTGATATCTTAAACTGTCCTATGTAAATAACAGGTCAAAACGCAGCCGAGTAGTAGATTGTGATTATAAATGGTGCTTCTGCTCAAAGCTCCAGCAACTACATTCTGTCCTCAGTTTAGTCCCAACCTGGTGATACTGCTGTCACCACATTGCTTGAAAATTTCAGCAGTCAGTCTTACATTTATAAATATAACTTTACAAAAGTAAATGTGTTCTCACTTATGTTGAGGAAAACATTATCTGTTTTTGATTATAGCTCACAGAGGGGTAGTAATACATATCCTAGGTAGTAAGGGCAAAATTCTATTTCACTATAAGAACCCAGATGGCAGTTATATGGTCACAGAACTGCAGATTTTGGCACTTACACACAGTTTATGATACAGCAACGGACGTACAGGTGCACACATGGTTACTGAGCATGCCCAGCAAGACTCCTCTGATCAGGCAGGTACATGATACACTAACCCAGATGTGCCCATAAAGCCAGACAAATCCGAAAATAGTAGTTTGGCAAAAACTTATCATGGCTGTTTGTGGCTAGGAAGCTTTCAGTGCTTTAGCCCAATAGCTCAGTTCTTCTCAGGGCTCTTGGCAAGAGAATGGGAGACCCAGGTTTTAGACCCTTCTCACATAGGTGGGAGTTTGAACCTACTTGTCTCAGTGCTCATAAATAAGTTCTAACCATAAGTAAGCTATTATCTCCTCTCCTCTCCAGTGCACCTTTTGCGCTGCTACACCTTGCATTTAACAGTCAGGCTGCACATGGACATCACACTTATCCCAAGACAAAGTGCAATTGCACAGATGTCTAGGTCTGTTGCCCCTGGAAAAATCGTAAAGTTTCCCAGGTAAGAAATAGAAACAGTTTATCCTGATATATTTCAAAATACATCCCAGGATCACAACATTGAATCAATGGCAGAAAAGCAGCATTCTATTCATCTACTCACTAAATCCTGATTAGAAAGGCAATGTGTGTACATACCAATTGCAGGATATTTTTGTTCTGGGCTAAACAAAAGAGGAACTTATCTTGGGACAAATACAAAATCTGTTTTAACCTTCATTGGATAAAATGTATGGAGAGGAGCAGGGAAGTTTCTGACACAGTGGGAACAAGGGTGCATGCTTGAACCCAGAGCCTCCTCCCTTCCAGGGCAAGACCCACCTCATTGGGCACATCTACACATCTGGCTGGGTGGGAAAATCTGGCCGAGAACTGTCCCACTTCCCAAGAAATAGTGGTTCAAATCCCTCTAGAAGAGGAGGACCTACAACTTGAGTCCCCTCTTTGCTGGGAAAGAAGACTAAACATTTGGCTACTGGGCTAATATGTGGAAAGGTCTTCCTCCACCACTATCATTTTGGCTCCAGCAGGTATGCATGTAGGCATACAGGATGATTTTTTTTTTTGCTAGCAGAGGAAATAGAATCTGAAACTGCATCAGTGCCAAAAACTGCAGTTACATAGCTGTATAATTGCTGTTTAGGTGCATAGAGTGAAATGACTACCATTACTGCTCAGAATATCTATTAATATTATTTTGTGATTTGCACTATATCATGAGATTATTATGGCTTAATAATATTGGAACAATAACATTTAACCTTATTGCTTTAGAGATCAGTTCAATAGTTTGCTATGGATTCTTTGATAAAGCCAGTCTATGCATTATGCATTTTGCAAAAAAAACCTTGTGACTTTCATGGATATCTGTAGCTGTTCAAAGGTAAGTTTGGCAAGTATGTGTCAAAAATAAGTATGAGCATGAGGAATTCGTACTCTTGCTTGCTCGCAAGAACCATTAATCTCATATTTTGGAACTTATCATTAGTAAACCAGCAGTGGTCTTCATTCTTCAGTATTGCTGTTGGTGATCCACAGCTGAGCTCACAAATTGCACATGTTACAGCTGTTGTTTTGCACACCTTAAGAGCAGGGAGGCATAGTGAGCTACATTAGTCAGAAGTCAAGTAGAAGTTAGGGCAGATTTGCACCTTATAGACTACTCAAGGGTGTGTGAGGGGGCAAGACTTTTATTCATGAGTCTGAGATTATTTTCAGAGTGAATAAGGAAAAACTTATATATGTAACGTGTGTGTATGTATCACAATCTTTCATGGGCTGAGGCTCATTTCATCAGATGCTCTGAAAGTGCACAAAGCAGGATATAAGAAGGAGAGAGACATTTCAAAGGGCAGAAGGGAGGGGGATAGAGGGGGAGAAAGGAAAGGGGAAAGTGGAGTTAACCAGGGACTAGGGATTTTTATCCCATTACCTGGATTAACTTTTGTGACCCCTTTGTTCCTTTCAATTTATGGCTTGCTTGCCTCATCCAGCATTGCCCCCCTCTTCTGTCTTTTGTATTCAAATTTATCTCTCTTCCTTATACATTGGTTTGTGCAAATTATTTTAAAGCATCTGATGAAGTGAGCTTAAGCCCACAAAAGCTTCTGCTATATACAGACTTTTATACTTTGGTTAGTATATAAGGCGCAAATCTACCCTACCTGCACATCTATTTGCACATCTTATGATAGTCATCCCTCTGTAGAGCCAGTCAGAGATTACTGCATTTTAAGAATATTAATTAAAATGACACAATATTAAATTTCACAACTCAGAAAATATACTTCCATTTTTAAAACACATAGGCCACATCCAGATGTGCGTGAATGTTTGGCTTCCCAGGTACAACTATCAGTGGTGCACCTTGTGTCACCACTAGTTGTCTCCAAGGAATACTGTGCCATGTGCCCTCTGGTGTGCAGCAAGGTACCCTGGGTGGTGTAGAGAAGGTTGGGGCCAGCTCTGGCTGGCCTGGCTCTGGTTTGAATGGTGCATACTGCCCCTGTGTGCGCCACTCTGCTTTTTCTTCCTGTGGGTTTTTTTTGATCCCTGGATATCCACAGGCCAACCCCCTCCCTGCTGCTCCCTTGCAGTGCTGAGAACAACTGAATGTATAGTATGTGGCACCGCAGATGCTGCAGCTCATCTGGAAACAGCTGTATAGTGCAGAACAAAGAGCAAAATATTTTAGACTAATTTCTGAATCATAATATAGTATTCATTATAAAATGTACTAAGCTGTACTAAGCAAGATACTGTAACTACTGATAGCTAATGTAAATTTCCAACATACAAATCCTTTACAGATGCACACTTTATTGCAGGTCTTTTTATTATGTATGTACATGAGTCTCAATAGCTTTCTGGCAAAGTCTTACAGAATCATAACTGTGGAAAGGATGTGTATCAGCAATTTTGGGAATCAATGATTTTTAATTTCTAATTAAAAACTAGTGTATTCTGGTTTGGGTGTTGATGTGCATATATGTACCTGAACATACATGATGGTAGCAATCTTTTTTAGACCAAAACATTAGTTTAATTTAAGTGGTTAAATCCTCACTTCAAGGGTTTAATATAGCCACATTTCCCCTAAACAGCAGTATATTTACAGAAATATATAAATACAGGATATATAAATAGCTAATGATGATAGTATAAATTGTGACGAATGTATGTCAATCCATGGTTTTCAGTAAACTCTGCCCTTCCCCCACTCTTTTTATTCTTTGAGTTTTAATATTTATTTTTTATGAAAATCTTGGCACTTGTGTTACAGAAAAGGTTTAATATAATGCAAATGCAGGTGGATTGCCTGATACTTTGCATGTCCCAGAAATGCATAAGGCTACAATATGTCTAAAATAGTCTACCATTACTGTATATTCCAAACACTGCTTATGATTCACAAAACTCTCTTTACAAGATTCTAAAAGTCTGACTCCCTCGAGTTGTTCCTCATTCACTCTGAAAATAATCTCTGGCTCATGAATAAAAGTCTTGTCTGTCCCCCCCCTCCCCAGAAACGAGCTTGGGTTGAGAAATTTAGCATTTAAAGCTGTTTGGAATTTTTAGATGTTCCTTGGAAAGACCATATTGAAGATGTTTATTTATTTTTTTTTTAAACAAACCATTCATGTTAAAATGAAATAAAAGTAAACTCTTTTCCATGTATGACTCACTTATTTAAAAAAATAGCTGAATGTACTGAAATAAATATCACATGCAGCATATTGCACAACATTAATTTGGGGTCTATCATAAACAATCATTAAAATATATATAAATTATGGGTCTGGATCACTGCAGCGCTACTTCAGTGTAATGACAGCTTTATGCCATTGACACAAATCAAATTATTTCAGCAGAAAACTTGGAATCAGGTTTAAAGGTGCTTGTGTCTTAATTGATTACCATTTTAAAAAGCAATGTTAGTGATTAAATTATCAGACGGACAGTTGAAACAAATTGAAGCTCCTCACTTCCCATCCACATCTCTAAAAACAAAAATGGTAAGGCAAGAGCAACTCCTATGTAAATTAAGCAAAATTGCTCCATATGTCCCATATATTTGTCTCATTCTTGTTCTGTAGAGAGCATCTCTATGGAAAGAAGATAGCCCAGGCTCCAGTTATTGTCTTTCCACAATGGTGTCACTTTGTGCCAAATATGACATTGGTTTTCATGAGGGGAACAACTGCCTAACAGGAGATAGACCAAAATTGCCAGTTCATATCAGACAAGCCAAGGAAAAGCAGTTAATTTCTGTTAATGACTGTTGGTTGTTATTAGCTTGTTTTAAATTTGAGGCAAAATCTTACAACTGAAAGGTTCCAAATCTTATTAGCAATTCCCAAAGAGTGCTGTCATCACTAGGATTAAGTTGCATATGTATATTTTTGTAGATTTACATTTTGGTGAAGTTGATGGCCCTATTTATTCATCTTTCCCTCTGCTCATCCCCAAGCTACAAATCAATTTTCTAGTATCCTAGTGTTTAATGTTGTTTTATAAAACTAATTATGTCCTAAAGCTGTTTTGAAGCACACATGTGCTACAGTACTTAAATGCAAGTGTTACTCAATACTGTTTTATTGGAGCCATCCCTGGGACTTACTTGTGCTGGATCCACATCATTCAACATAACTATTGATGTGCAGTGATAATCTAGGACCAGTCTCCAGAAATCTTTGACAGTATTTGGTAAAGGATGCTGGGTAACTATAAATGCCGAAGGTTGTTTATAGCTCTGCAAAAAAATAACAAAAGTTAACATGATAGAATTGATAAGAGCTGTAATCTGTCCAGTAAATTGTCAGTAATGGATCCAACTCCTAGGATTAGAAGTATTATTTTTGTTTAAAAATTTACTCAGTTTTCTGATATTCCCTGAGATCTTGTTTGTTTGCAAACCTAATAAACTGCGATTCTTACGGTTTTTCAGATCATATTTTTAAAACTCCTATGCCCTAGGTTACAGTAGGCAAAAGAAAATAAGGAGACAGAGAGAGAGAGACAGAGAGAGAGAAGCAGAATCTTGCCTCAGAATAGCACCCACAAAATCCTGCACAACAAGTTTGTATTCACGACAGACAAATTAATTGTGACTGCCTGTTTTTGGTTGTTAGCTTGAGTGATTCCAGTGTAAGGAAATTCCAAGTAATTTCTAGGAAATATTGTTAAAATTGTGTCCATCTGGCAACAGAGCAGTATCTTAAGAGGACAAATGCCAGATTCTTTCCGAGTTTAATTATTAGCCTACATCACTCACTGAGCTATCAGTGAACTTCTGTACACAAGTACAGACTCATGTGCTTCCTGTTTGCTGAAGCGCATTCCTGATAAAGGACTGTCACAGTCCCCACTGCCAACTGTTTTGAAAGAAGCTTGTATACACTAATCTTAAACAATTCTGTTTTTACATCAGCTGTGTGGCCAACTGTTTCGAATCTTCCCTTAGCAGAATTATTGGGAATCTCAAAGAGTTTAAAGTGTCATTTTGGTTAGGGGGTTGAAGATGGTTCAGAAAAACCACCTCATTTCTTTGCTCAGTGATCTCCTTTTAACAGTGGATAATCATCAGGTACCCATACTGCAATTATTACATCAGACATGAGTAAGATGAGAGTATTGATTTGCCTGCACTTGCATACAGAACAGGGCTCCACCTTTCTGGCTGTGAGACTTCAGAAGGTTTTAATTGGATAATTGTTCTTTGACATGACCCTTCACGGGACAATGCATCATCCTTATTGTTCAAAATAACAGAGCCATCAAGAGGGTTAAGGAGGGTTAATGGATAATGCCCAGCTCTGAGTCTCCTCCTTGACTCATGCAACGGGGAGAGATTATTTTGTCCAGTGTCTGATGGACACTGGGATGCACAGTTTCTGGATCATGGCCCATTCATTATAGAAAAGATTCCAGGGTCATGGCTGGAACAGTAAGTGTACCTGTGATTCTGGGCAGAAAGAAAGGCCTTGATGTGGCCATGTCAGCTGCCATAAGTTTGACAAGTCCCAAGGATGTTGCAACTTGCTGCAGGGCCAGGGGCTGTTGCTGAAGCAGTACTCAGCTGCCTGTTTCCAGGATCAGGAAAATGGAAAGGTAACAGAACACCTTTGCCCCTTGTAGAACAGCTAGGTTGGTTCAGGTATACCTGAGCTACAGCCTAATAATTTGACTTCACAGGTAAACAGCTTTTAAGACAAGAACTTCAAACCTGAATACTAAGGCTTCACCCCTTTGTACATTCACAGGACAAAATTATATTGAACCTCTAGGACAGGCGCAGACAAAATATAGCCCACAGGCCGCATGTGGCCTGCCAGGCCATTCTATCCACCCTGCACAGCTCCTAAAACATTTTGAAAATTAATATTTATCTGCTCCTGGATGCCTATCAAAAATGACAGGAGCTAGGGGCAGTAGGGCCTACCTGCAGCCACTTTCACTGCTTCCCTGCAGCCTGCCAGCCACTCCAGCACCATGTAGCCCCCGTCTGCATCACTGGACTGCGCCAGTACCCCCTGGGCCAGGAGTGGGAGTGGTGTGTGTGTGTGTGTGGGTGTGTGTGCGCGCAACAAGGGAGGGGGAGAGAGAGAGACAGAGAGAGCAATGAGGCAGGGAAAGTGTGTGTGTGTGGGTGTGTGTGTATGTGTTCATTTGTAGGTGAGCACATATACACCCTCCCCCACACCCCACAGCCCCCCACAAACCTATACCCACCCCCTCACCCTCCCACAATATACAAGAGTAAGACTTCATTTTAAGCTATTGTGCAATCACTTCTATGTACACTACACAAACACATGTAAATTAGGACAAAAATATTTTCTGAAATCAAATTAATGAATGTTGTAGATGTTGGATTTTTAGAATATAATTTGGTATTTTTCTGGTTCCAAGAAGGCAAAACCCCTTGCTGAAAGGAGCACTTCTGGGGGCAAGGGAGGAACTTCTGGTGGCAAAGGTCAGGGGTTAGGGGGTGGGACTTCCAGTCTCAAGGTGGTGATCAGGGGGTGGGGCACCTGCCAAGGAGTGGGGCTACCCATGCAGCCTTCGGCAGCTCACCAAAACTCAGTAAGCAGCCCTTTGTCCAAAATAATTGCCTGCCCCTGCTCTAGGAGATGTGAGATGAGTCTAGATTGGAGATGATGTATTCTAATAAGACTTCTACCACTTATTTACTGTGTGACCCTGGAACAAGCTAATTAAGCTCTCATTTCCTTAACCATATATATAAAAACAACACTTACCTAGTTTTCACAGGAGTGTTTTGAGATCTAACTATTGTTAATGAAGTGTTTTGAGGTCTTGGCTGAAAACAACTGCATAAGTATAACCTATTATTACTCCTATTATTATTCTTCAAAATGTACTTTCTAGAAAGGCAATTTAAAATGAATACCTTCTTTCCTAATCTGTTTTCTTGTTGTGTATGTTTGTGTGACAACTTTAATTACTTCAGCTGTAAAATGTTAGCAATATACTATAAATACCGAAAGTGTATAAAACACATTTAGTGTCTTTTAAAGATATCCTATTCTGACTGTTAAAATTATAAAAGCTGCATTTAAAAAAATCATTTCCCTGTGAACTGAACAGGAAATGCTCATTCAGACAGAAATAAACAGAAAGACTGAAGTAATGGCTTGTGTACTATCAGTGATGACAGACAATTATTTTTTTCTGTTAATTACTGTGTAAATTAGAAGGAAAGGGAACTAAAATATTGCTGCAAACCTTATTATCCCATTTAGCTGCCTTGGTGACTTAATAGGTAACTCTTTTTCTCTTAGGCCAGATGGTTAAAAATTCAAGCACTAGAGAGAAATCTAGGCATGTTTCATTTATCAGTCCTCCCTGACTAGCTCTTTCTGTGTGGTTTTGGAACCTTAGCTGTGACATAACATATGGGAGATCCTAAAAGTACTCAAGAGTTTAAAGATTATGTGTCATTTTTAGGAAAGTGAATGAGAAAGATTTGCATCCTCTTGTGCTGACTATACTTTCTGGTATTTCTCAATTTGGAGAATGGTTTATTCCTTCTTTATTATCAATGATTTGATGGGGGCTTACATCCATCAGTGCAGCATTAATGTAGTTACTGCTTTCCCCATCTATTGTGATGAGGAAAGGCAGACATCTGTCTGGAGGCAAAACATCCATACATCGGTTCTTCTCGTGGTTCCGGGGTAAAAGTGCTATACTGCAGTCTTCCACACGGAGCGTTGGAGTCACCATATTTAGAGTCTATAAAAAAAAGTAAACAATGCATCAGCAAAATCAACTTAGTAGTAAATGCACCCTCAACTAGTTAATAAAGATTTCTTGATCAACTCAGGACACTGTCTCAGAAGGGAGTCTATATATGTAGAAATGAAAAGAAAAACAAACAAAACCAAGTTGGGTCTGGGAGCAAACATCCCGGACTACAGAACATGACCACATTAGAAGAAAGAATCTCAGGAATGAGCCCCTGGAGAAAGAACAACAAAGGGAAACCACACAGTATTTCTCCTTCTGTTGGTGAGGAATAAGAGAATATTACAATCACTTTTATTGTCTGGATTTATTATTCCACATATTTCAATGGAAATTTGACACTGCATTGCTTTGTTCTGTTGTATTTTTCCTCACAGACCTGATCCAAAACCTTCTGAAATCAATGGAGGTTCTATATTGGCTTCAACAGACGTTGGGCCAGGCATCACACTGTACGAATCCATGTTATACTACTCACAACTTACCCTAAATTCTTCTTTGATCTGGCTTGAGTTAGTCTGAGGATCAAGTTTATTCATTTCATAGTACACAGACCTAACTTGAGAAGCTGGGATAGATGTATCTCCACAAAGGCAGGCTTCCAGTATTGCATCATGGATAAATACATACTGCTCCTGGTCAAGTAATTAAAAGAAACACTGGCTTAGACAAACCACACTATTAATGCCCAAGTAAATAAGAATTATCTAAAAGGGTCAGATTCAATGCCCACTGAAAGTCAGTGGGTGCATCTACATATGCAATTAGCATGTAGCAATAAACTCCGGTGTGAACTCATGACCACAGCATCTTCATGTGTGCCTGGGACTGCATCATGTTGAGCTGGGGCAAAGCAGCCCCAGCTGGCAGGGGGTCAGACGGGTCAGCCTGCCAGCCAAGGAATGCTCTGACCTGGCTCAATGTGCTGCAGAGGGGCTGGCTGGGGCGCGAGGGTGTTAAAGTGTAGGACTAGGCACCAGGAAGCCCCTGCACTGTAGCACTCTTGTGACTCAGCTAGCTCCATCACCATCTACACATGCATTTCATCATATGTAACTACTCTGTTATAGGATAGTACTTGTGTCAGGCAGTACTATCCTACAACAGAATTAATTAGCTTACTGCGGCCTAATGGCACAGCACGTATAGACAGTGACACTTTACTACGGAGCTAATTAGTCAGCTCTGCAGTAAAGTGTCTCATGTAGACATGCCTAGTGTGACCAGTTTACCGTGAGTTTGGTGAATATTTGATAAGGCTTCAAGGTGGCAAAAGTAGTTTAAGAAACATACTGCTCTATAAAGAGAAAAGTGTGGAAAGGTGGGTCAATGATAACAATAAACAAACCAGCTAGTAACCTGTATACAATAAAACATAGCTTTTATAACTGTGTTAATTTGCATTTTTCTTTTTTGCATAAATGCATATGTACTTTCATGCAAATGAAACTTGGAAGTGACATGTCCCAGAGTACTGTTTGGTTCTGAATAAGTAATATAGCTTTTAATGACAATTATCATCCCCCAAATCAGCAACATTTATGCAACACCTCTATGTATGTTTACAGGCAAGGTTTGGCTTTTTTGTTCACTTTACCACATCACATTATTTTCCCTGTGTTCTGGCAGGTTGCATATGATATAAAGGGCTGACCTTATTTTGTTTTGTGTTTGAACAGTGTCTAGGACAATCGAATTTTGGTCTGTGGGCTATAATAATACTTCCACTGTAAATTACATGATAATATCAATTAAGGATGATAATACCTCAGTTTGCACCATGTTAACTCTTCTAGATCGAAGCTCCCTGACACAGTTGTATATGTCTACAACACCTTCTCTCTCTGCCATATCTAGCATGATGTCAATGACAATAAAACATCCAGTTCTTCCAGCACCGGCGCTAAAATTAAGAACAGAGACAGCACTTAATGAGTTCTTAAAAAATGTCAAGTATTGAGCTCAATCCTGGAGGTATTCCCTGAGCAGGTGATGTAACAAAGGGCCAGCCCCAGGAGTGACCGTGATACCCCCTGGTAGCCACTCAGCCCCTTTCTTGCCCTATTCTTTGAGCATCCTCTCCTTCTACTTGTGTGCCATGCCTTATAAAACAGAGGCTGCCCCAGGAATCCCTGAGCAAGATCTCGTTTGCTCATGGGCTATGTCTAATTGCTCACCACCTTAAGGACAATTTCATGGCCTCCTCATCTTCCCTTTTTGCTATGCTCAAGGCTCCCAGATGTCACCTGTTTCCCTTGTTGGGATCTTGGCTCACTTGGCCTCCGTCACTTCTCTTTTGCTAGGTCACTTAGCTCAGATCCACTGTGTTGGATACAGCTTCTGGATGCCAGCTCTGTCTCCGCCCTTCTGGGTTGCTTGGCCCCTTCTCTGCATTTCTCTAAGCTGCCAGGTCCCTAGCCCACGGGGCCCTTCCCTTCTGTGCACAGGGTCTCCTGGTCCTGGTTATGCCTTTTTTGGTGTTGGACCCACTGGCCCTGGCTCTCTCCTTTAAATGTGCAGAGCCCACTTGCCCTGGCTCTGCCCCTTTGGGCACTGGACCACCCCCCACAGTCCTGCCTGGCCTCTGCCTGTATCAGGCTTCAGCTCCCCTTTCAGACTGCCTCTGGGCTTTAGCCTGTCCCCCAGGCCTGAGCCTACGGTGTCCTGAACCAAAGCCCTTAGGAAGGCTCAAAATGCAGGTGTGCCCCTGGCACCCAGCTGCGGGACAGCCTGCAAAGTGCCCCTCTGGTGCCCTGCCATAGTCTTTTCCCACTCCCTTTTCAGCTGTGTCCAAACCACCAGTTGAAACTGTCACCACTGAGTAAACCCACTGGCTAACACAAACCAAACACCCTCTGGGTCCAAACATAAAACAATGGTTACCACCTATATAACAAGGTTTACCTGTACCCCAGGTAATATTTCCCTATAGGGAAGCAGCATTATGCTTGCCTTCTTCAAGACAGCACTGGTGCCAGCTGGAAACCACCCTGCATTCCCCCTGCTCTGCAGATCTTGCCTTGGAAGTCTCCTGGGACAGACTGACTGTGTAGGCTCAGGCCCTGAGCCCCTGCCCACTTCTGGTTAGGTGACTCAGCAGCCATCACAGGTGTGTTTGTTCTGACCCTACGGCCCTGCCTGCCCTTGTGGCTGCTTAGCTGCTGTTTGCAGCTCTTAGCCCCCAAGCAACTTGCCTGTCTGTCCCTTATACCTGTTACTGCTGGCTTTTGGCTACAACTCAGCCCACAGGGACCTAGTTCCTTAGTGGCTAGCCTTCCTTGAACCAGCTCACCCTGCTGCAATTTCCTTTCAAGAAACAGGAGCCTTCTGGCTCCCTGTGACAGATGCCTAGTGAAATCAAGAAGAGTTATGAACAACGGAGTGCAGTTTAAGTTTTGCAATTTTTATTTATGTTAGTTAGTACCTTATTACATTAGTACCTCCACTGGCTTCAGCTACTTGTGGAGTACACAATGTAAGAGTGACAAAACGAGGGTGAGAGTCTTGGGTAGAAACCCAAGAGAAGACATTTCCACTCTGCTTACCTGCAGTGTACAACCAATGGGCCAGCATTAGGTGGGCTCTTGGATTTGACCTGTCGTACAAATCCCAAAAGTCCCGTGGCATGGTATGGTACGCCATGGTCTGGCCAGCCTGTGAAGTGAAACTGTCTGATTTCTCGGATCTCATGAGCACCTCTCTGTCCATATTCAAGTAAAAGAGAAGAATAAAAAGATCAGAATAAATAAGAATTTGAAAAAGTTTCATTTGAAAGTGAGTTTCAGATTTGGGGCTTTTCTTTAAAAAAAGTCTACTGTCAATCTTTTAAAGGCAAGGCAATGTGCAGATTTTTAACTGGAGTCAGAATAAAATAGACTGATTTTATAGTAACATGTCTAAGCAATTTTAAAAATATTCAAAAAACAAAAAACAAGCCCTAAGGGGAGACAACCAAAACTGCACAGTGGATCACTGGTAAAGATCTATGGGAAGAAATCACAGGTGAAATAGTGAATCCATTGAATACAATGGAACTTGTGCCACTGATTTTGTTAGAGCCAGGATTTCACCACAGATTCTCCCAGTTCTTGTGTGTCTCATTTTTCATTCCCAAGAGGGAAAAAAACCCTGAAAAAAATGGCGTGTTGTTAAAGAATTAGGCCTTAATCCTAGAAAAACTTATGTAGCTGCTTAACATTACACAAGTGGCCCTACTGGCTAGTTGTCTCTAGAGATCTATTCATATGCACGAAGTGTTTCCATTATCAGGGCTTATATCTCTTAAAGTTTTATGCTAGTCAAAAATAGAATTCTGACCTTTACACCTTAAAATTCACTAAACCATCATTTTTTTTCTTAAAAAAATACATCAAACAAGTCCCTCCCTAACAAATAAACTTCTAAGTTTTCTTTTAGGAGCATATAAGAAAATGACCTACAGAAGGAAGTGGGTGACAGACATTTTATCCAATTTAAATTCAGAAGCATTATGGGGGAAGAGATGTAGTGTTGGCCCTTCAGTTCTTTAAAGAAAAGTTAGAAGGAAATAAAAGAAGAAAAAGCAAATGTATTCTACCAACACTGCACAGAAGCTGCTTTTATCAGCTTACTGAAAAGTGAGGTACTGTTATATAAGCAGTGCCTAAATGAAGTCTTTTTGGATGGAGGGAATTTTTAGAAATAAAATATTTAAGGTCTTTTATCACTGTGTTTTAATGTGCTTATTCATGAGTGTTTGGTAATGAATAACTGTACAATCCTCTGTGTCCTTTTTTCCAGTCCTGGCTAAGAAGTGAAAAGCTAACATCAAAGCATGAGCTTAGAAGTCAAAGAATAGAAATCACCCAATAGCTCATCTTCTTCAAAGTCTAACCAACTCTTCTCATCTGTTTACTAAAAGTGTCTAAATAGTAGCAGACAACAGGCTGGAATGAATTGCAGAAAATATATATAATATATATTGTTACTGCAGTCAGGTCACAGTACTCATTCATATTTTACTATTAGTTTGAAAACTGCTTCATTTTCATGAGCATGCTATTTCATGCATTGCAAGAACACAGACAAGCTCCATTAAGATAAAATAGGAACAGATGATTCAGTAACTTGATGCAAACACTTTTAAATATATTGCTTAAAGAAAAAGGAACCCATGGCCCAGTAGGATACTTGGCTGAACAGGGCCCAAGTCATGTCATATTTGATATATACTCAAGAGAAACTTCTTATTCGTTAGTATTATAAGATGGCTATGGATATCCATATACAGAGTTGACTTTTAAGTTCTCATTTCTGCAGCTGGATACAGGTAGCTGCAAGAGTCCCCATGCATGGATTTAAGTGCAGAACTAGTGATAAAGTTATATGCTGTTCAGGGAAAGGATCATGTTCTACTACCTCTTTGGAAAGCATCTGGCAGATTTCAAATATTATCGCTGTTGCAAGAAATAATAAGAATACATGTTGGTTCCAGTTAAGTCAAAGGGAATTTTTCAGTTGATTTAATTGAAAATCCACTTATAGTGAAGTTGAATGAAAATTATTTCACTGTACTCCTAAGCATCTCACTCTTCATTCTTCAACTTATATAGGTACTAATAAAGCTGACAAGTAAAAATCTATCACAAATATATGTTAAATGTCAGCATTCAACCATGATACTTTTTTTCTACTTCCAGTATATACTCTGAAGTGTTCATGGAATCTCTCCAGCCTGGGAAGCTCTTTGGGAGAGCCACTTGGTCTAAATACCTGTCTGTTAAGTATCAACCACACAAATGGCATAATTCTATGGCAATATAATATGGCAATCACAATGCTGCTTGTAAAAGACCTTCCTGCTTCAAATGAAGTTGTTTAATGAAAAAATTACTTCCCTATAAAAGAGTTCTATTGTAGGCTTAGACAGATTATACTGACAGATCACAGTATTTATAACCAGGAAGAATAATGGTACACATGGACACAGACACAGACTCGATTGTGGTGGCCAGAAGATGAGAAAACAACATCAATGCTCCTTTTAGCTAATGGGTGGGGCAGCACCCTCTCTTGCTTCAGTCCCTCACGGAAATGGAGTGTCTCTTTCCAATTCAAGACTGGGCCAAGGGAGGTTGGGGGAAGGACAGAAAAGGATCTGAAATTCAAGAAAAAGGAAAACTTGACCATAAGGGGGCACTGGAGGACTGCCCAAAAAGTACTTTGCTGTGGATAATGGGCTGTTCCTAAGTCAAGGAAATCTAGGTGCTTTTCCACGTTGACACAAAGGGGCACATATTAACCTCCCATGTAGAGGTACCATCACATTTAGAAAGCTGGAATTTGAAAACTTACCTTTTCTACTGCAAATGTCCGAATCACATATTCAGCCAGAAGCTCTGTTTCTATTAGAGTAACTTTAATATCTTTATATATCTCCGTGTCATCTGGCCAGTATTTGCAGCATTTGACCTTTTAGAAATACAAAATAAATTAAGGTCCCTATTTTTCATCAGATTTATACTGAATCTGTTCTATATCTTTTGTAGTGATTTATGGCATAAAATTCAACCACACATAAGACAGTCAAGTTGTTAATACAAGAAAATTGTCTAGGCACCATCCTTTCACCCTGCCCTCCCCCTCCAAGACAGTTGCTGAGTTTTAGGCAGGGCAGCATTCAATGAAGTAAGGAACATTTGTATGTAGCATGAAGGGTGTTTACACTGAGCATAGCTCAGTTACAATAACCATTTGTTTCCTGTTCACTCTGAGTCGAGCAGTATCCAGAGGGAAATGCTATAAAGGAAGCTTGAATATATTCAGGTTTCTCTGCATCTTTATTTTTTTCATCTGAAGTTGTTTAAAAAATAACTTCTTGCCTTCTATCATGCAAATTTATACTTCACAGGGTACAGAGGAGGGGGAGACAATTTTGTCTAACGTTAGAAAAGCAAAACATGTAGTTTCCCTACTTAGATTGAACTTCTCAAAAGAACTGAGGAGAGGAAGGACAGTCATATGGCTGAAGCCCAGGAGTAAGAGTCAGGAGACAGATTTTATTTCTGGCTCTAGCACTGACTCCCTAGAAAACAACTGACAACTACTGACTCCTGTGGGCTTTGCACTTACTTATTGGGAAATTCATCCTTGTGCTGGAAGAGAGGAGGTGTTCTCTGTGAAATTGGCACAGGAGTTGCTGTGGGTTGGTGTTAACTAATTACATATTAGTTGGGTTCTATTATGAGCAGGAATCTTGACCTTCAGACTGAACGGATTAACAGAATCAGAAAAGCAGCTAAGAATTTGGGGCTATTACAGAAATGTGTATGGAAAAATAGCAAATTATCGACTAAGGTGAAGATGCAAATCTATGAGGCTTGTGTGCTGTCGGCCTTGCTTTATGGTTCAGAAACAGGGACTATGTATGCTAGGAACATCAAAAATTTGAACAGCTTCCACATGAAATGCCAGCAAAAGATCCTGAAAATAAAGTGGCAAGACAAAATACCAAACACAGAGGTGCTGGAGCGTGCAGGACTGACACACTTGGAAACGCTATCAAGAGGAGGAGGTTGTGATGGCTCAGCCATGGCAGGGGAATGGAAGGAGACCAAATCCCCAAGAATATTTTGTCCAGCAAGATTCAAGGTGGCTCTAGAAAGCATGGCTGCCCTTTATGGTGGTACCACAATGCATGTAAAAATGATACGAAGTCATTCAACATCATTGTAAAAAGCTGGGATCCAGTCCAATCTGGAGGGAACATTTGGCACTGGGTGTAGCTCAACATGTAGCTTTGATCAATAGGATGGAAGCAGAGCAAGAAAGAAGAAAGTAGTGTGTTTTGTAAACTTGGACTCCAACTCAGACAAAGTATGGATCTGGGAAACTTGTAACAAGCTGTGTCACTCTCAAATTGGGTTTGTCAGCCACAAGCGGATTCATCAGTCACTTTGACTAGACCTCTTATGCGTACACGATGATCCACAGGATCCAATTGTCTATCATTAGTTATATATATATAACTATAGTTATATAAATTCTGTTCTATTCAGGTGGTTGCAGACCTTTATTACCACTGCATATGGGTAACTTTCAGAAGTGTATGTGAGAGGACCAGCATGTGCTATGCATTTATTACATGGAATATTTCCCTCTTTTTTTCTCTCTTTATCCATGTCCCCTTAATTTCAAGGCAAATTAAGCATTAATTTGTTAATACAAGTGTATGGTTATGCTTAATTACACACTGATTGGTTATATACAAAAATAACTGCAAATTTTACCATGAAAATTAATAACAAAAATATAATAATATGTTTAAAATACTTCACAATTGAGAAATATATTTAAGTATCTCAAGCAAGCAGTGAGCTCTACATATTTAAAACATTAAAGTGAGTTAAATGCAATTCATTCATGCAATTCTCTTCTGTCTATAATATATTTTTTTAACAAAATTCTGTCTGGAAAAATTTCCAAAAGTCTTACAGTCAGGAGAATGGAAATCATATGAAACTTGTTGAAGGCTCATTGTCTTATTTATTTATCTGTATTGTTTGAATATCCAAGCCACTGGTTTTGTTCAAATCCCTGACTCAAGCAAATTGAACCATTATATCTGCTCTTGGGAAATGATTTGAAATGGCTTTTTCTCACATGGTGAATATGCTTTCCTATGTCCAGTGCAGAGTAAACAACATTTCATGTTGTCCCCAGAATGCTAAAGCTTTCTACAACCTGGTTTCTGACCTTAATTTCTTCTTCCTGCCTGTTGCTCTAGCCTTTCCATAGGTGGAATCTGATACTCACAAACATGGCCAAGGCACGTATGAAAGAGGAAACAGCTGCGGCAGTGGTCCTAGTCACAACACAACTATTGAGTATCATATGTTCTGTTTCTAACTTTAGCTCAGTTCCTTTCAGACGGGTGCCTGCCATCCTCAAAACAGCTCAGTTTAGTAAAATAAACAATTAAAAAAATAGGCACAACTAAGCTGCCTGGCATGCTTCTAACTTGGGAAGTCTAGGCAGCTGGGATTATGATTAATGACCAGAGACATTTAGAAATGCTTATTTCAAGAAGTGCAGTTTCTTTTTCTTTTGCCCCAGTAGCTGGATTTTCTTCCCCTTTTAGTTCTCATTAACATGGCCCAGTGGAATAGCGGGGTACGACTGTGGGCTTCTGCAAAATACATTATATATATCTGTGCCCTAAGTAGTTTTGCTCTGTAAGGGCTCTTTGAATCTCTGCTCAGAGATAATTTTGGATATGGGCAGATTGGGACCAGTGTTAATGGATTCATGACAACATAATTCCTTGCCAATTCTCTGGAGGGGAATGAAGGATGTATCAACTGTGGGAACTGTGCCAATGTTAGATGCAGTTCTAGCCTGAGACTGGCTCTGCTGAGTGGGAGAAAATAATAAAACACGTGTTTTAATTTTTAAAAATTATTTTATTCTTTTGGCTCCAATCCTACAACACTTGATGCACGTGCTAAACTTTATTTATGTGACCTCACTAGTTTTCTCATGTGCCAAAAAATAAGGGAAATCTGTAAGGACTGATTCTCATTCATAATAAAACCCTGAACGTGAGTATAAAGAAATTTTAAAATAGATATAAATAGCATAATGAGAAGCAGTCCCATGAATGTTTGCTGGATTGAAGCCTTTACAATTTCAGTGAAATAAGATAAGAGTTTAGATATCCATAAGAAATACTGCTAGTAAAAAAGGCAAAAATATGGGTGTCAAAAATTTTACCCGATGTTTTGGTTGTAGCTGTGTTGGTCTAAGGACAGAGGCAGGCAAGGTTATTTGAGTAGATGTGATATCTTTTATTAGACCAACTAAGTAGTTGGAAAAAAGTTCTTAGCAAGCTTTCGGACGCAGTCACCCTTCTTCAGGCATAGGGTGCCTCTGCTGTTCAATTAGGTAAAAAACTTTTACCTGACTTTTTAGCTATTGTATCTGGATTTGTTTGCTCATTTTTGTATACTTTTTGGCTTATTATATGAACAAAAACCTAGAAGGTTTAGCTATATAATACATGTATTCATACTTAGACTAAATATGAAATCTATGATGATTGGTTTGTGCATAGTAAAATAATGGCTGCATAATAGTTAATAGCTACAAGGCAGAAAATGGTTTTTGGTGCTCATGGGAGTAAAACAACAATTGAGAGGTAGTTTGGAAATACCCTACATTTGTATCTGATTGCATAACAAAACATTCAGATTTACACCCCAGGAACAAGTAGAAGTGTCATTGGGAAGGACATCTTGAAAACTCTCTGGGTACATACAACGTATTCCTCACAAGGTATGTTTGCTTACTCTTTACATATACATTTGCTTTACTGAGAACTTGAGGAGCATGGTAGCAGATGACCCCAACTCATACCCCAAAGACAGGGAAATCGGGTAAAAGGATAACAAGGGTAGCAAGTTGTGCTTAATACTTGTTAAAAGGGCAAACAAAACAGGAAGCAGAAAAGTGAGTATGATATTGCATATGCTTGTTTATTCTGAAGCAGTGGATTTGGCCACTGAAAGCAAGTAAAGCAACTAACTATTTTGGTGGTTCAGAGTGGAAACACTGAAAAGCTGATATGTAAAATGGTTATAACTAACATATACAGCTAGTACAGAGTAGTTTCAGTAACACTGATTATTTAGAGTTCCTAATTTGCTTTACTTATAAAATCAAATCCTAACAAGCGGTTATGCTGCCTGTGCACTGCCTAACTGATCATTAATGGAAAGAGTTGTATAAATTATTATTTAAGAGTAATTTGAACTAAGTAAAGATGATAAAATGGGGATGTTGAGATATTTATTTATCTCAAATTGTAGATATTTTTAGCTCTGAACAGCTTAATTTAGGTACTGTAGGTTACAGCAGGGAACAAAGAACCAAGGGCTGAGTCTAGGGGATGTAGACAATATGGTCCATTAATTTTAAGGCTAAATTTGTGTCTAACCCCTCAAGGCTTCTCTGCAGATCTCTACCAAATTTTCTGAGTTATATGCCTTGTACTGGCATATTTTCACCATGGATTCTTTTGGGACTACCCAGGTTCTATTCACACAGTGGTTGACCAGTCCCTGCAGTTTGCCTAGGGCAAGGACTTGGGGCTGAAAGCTGTCTCCAAACTCTGCTCCGCTCTAGGTCTAGATATGGCTAATGCCATAGGCGACTGGTAGGTGGTGCACAGGGTTGCACGTGCCCCCCCGATGGGGCCTGTGCCTGCCCGATGGCCGACACTGATACTGTCGGTAGGGCTGGTGCCCCCCCTGACAAGGCTGTGGCTGTCAGCTGCTTCTGCAGGTGCCCCCCCAGATTTAGGAGGCACCAGTCACTCATGGCTAATGCCGCTCTCAAAGTAGCAGTGCTATTATCTGTAAGATACACTATAACCCAGTACCTGTCCTAGGTAGCTTCTGCCAATGGGTTGCTCTCGCTGGGTAGTTGCTCTTGCTTGGCCCCTGGACATAGGTAGACTGGCAATACATCAGCTGCTTTTCCCTCAGGGGAGTGAATTTGTCTTTTAGAACAAGTGTTTAACATTTAGCATCCAATAGACTTATTTCCAACATAAATGAAATCTACCAGGTACTATGATGCACTGTACTGCTTTGTGCTCTGGCTCTGCCATAATCTGCCCACAAAATAGGGCTAAAGCTAAGTCAGCCTTGAGTTGATTATAGGGGATTCACATGCCATATACTTTTTCTATATTGTTAGTGTAGCAGAAAAAAGATCTGTGTGGCTGGAACACTTCTGTTTTATTGCATGTTATGGGGAGATTTTTTACTCAAAATGGCTGTTAAAAGCTGCTACAGTACAGCTAGATTATTCCCCCTAGCACCGGTCATGGACAGGTCATGCACAAAGCAGCATCATAACGAAGGATGCCCCAGTGGAAAGAGGAAAAACGGTTTAGCTGGGACTTGTGAGAGCTGGGTTCAATTACCCGCCCCACTGCACATTTTTCTGTGCTACTCAGGCCAAGCCCATTACTGAAATTGGATAAAATATGGTCACATGACCACAGCGCTATCTCTGGGCTAACCAGTGCTACCTGTCAGCTAATGTGGCTGCACTATGTTTAATTGCAGAGCTAATGTAGATGGAGCTACTTTGAGGTTTCTCTTCATGATGTTGCTTTGTGTGGTACAGACATACTGATGTTCCTCGTCATCTGTAAAATGGAGCTGAGAGCACTATTAGGAGGCTGGGAGGTTAAATACATTAAAAACTGTGAGGTGTGAAGATACTATTGTGACCATGTCAGTCAGCAGTTTTCAGCCTTTTTAGACTGAAGGCACCACTCAATAGACTCAAGGTACCCCATTTCAAAAGCTAACATTTATTACAGGTGCAGAGAGACCAGCCAGAGAGGTGTAGGGGAATGGCCAGGTAGTGAGAGGTAGGAAACTGCACTTATTTGCTTATTTCCTCACACCTGGTGGCATCCTTCAAAGGATTTCATGGTACCCTGGTTGAGAATCACTGATCTTGGTAGCTAAGGCAGGAAGTACCAAGATGAGCTTCAAGCCATTTTCCAAAGCACCTTTTCACACGTTCACTGTGCAAGGAGGTTGTATTCAAATATCTTGCCCCCACACCTTCAAATTTATCCATATATTTTTGTATCCTTAAACAACTTATGTTTACTACTCAAAATGAATTATTTTAATTATATTAGTAAGAATTAAGGTAGTGACCTTGATTGATTGTTTTCTAGAACATCCATTCTTGCACCAAGACATTGAAAGCTGACATCATTTTTGCTTGAACTTACACAAGACAGTGTTGTTCACAAATAGGCTTGTGACCTATTCAATGAAGTGAACATTGTTGATTTGTGGACATTTTTATTTAACTGACTAAAAACCAATCTTTCTAGTTTCTTTGAGAATAACGGCCAATTATTTCCCCTAAGGAATCCATCTCTGCTACACATGATAGAACAAGGCCAACTTGTTATTTCGAGTTATAACTTTAAGAAAGCTGAAATGTGTTTTGACTGTTAGACATATTATGTTTTTCACTCACTAGATTAACAATGGCTTTAAATGACTGGATTTTATGATTTTTTTTTGGCATTCTGTTAGAAACTGTACCTTCCATCATTTCTAACGGTAAACATTGATCTTCTGTGAACAGAGCCACAAAGTATTAATGGAAGTTATCAGAAAAAAATGTTTGTTAAATACAAATTAACTTTATGTAGGAAATGACCATATTTCCAGTTTGGTTAGGCTGGACAAGGGGAAGGAAATGGATTTAATGTAACAATTTTTTTTTCCATCTCCACATTTTGATTTCTGTCTTTCAAGGTGGAAGTTAAAATGAAGTCTGGGCCATCTTAAAAACTCCATGGCACTTCTTATAAGGAATATTAATGCCCATGCCTTAAACTAAATCCAATTTGGGTAATTATGTCTCATTATATTCACAGGCACTTTCTACTAGATAATGTATACTCCTCTCATACTAAACATTAACCCTTTTTGTGGTGTTAAACAGTTTATATGATCCACTCCAGCAGTAGCTGCATTTCAGTAATGAATGAATGGGCTCCCATAGACAGTTTACATAGGCCTTGTGTTAAGTTTTGAAAACGTTTAGCAGTAGCCTAACTTGGGAACAGGTGAGTGGGACACCCATTTTAGGTATCATTTCACAGGCGGCACCAGAATGGCAGCCCCCATGGAGCCTGTGCCAATGCCACCTCAGTGGCCTGTGTTCAGGGAGCTTTTGATTAGATGGCACCTCCACAGCATGCCCTGCGCAGTGAGGTAAGCACTTGCTCTACTCCACCCCTCCCCAAATTTTAAGTTATGCCTCCAGTGTTTTGAGGAGATTTTGCAGGTAAACTATTCTATAGATGTAATGCTATGAATGTGCTGGTTACGACTCTATAGTAGGGCTGTATTGATAAAAGGGTATACATTTCTGTTTTGCCACATCAGCATGAAATTTCATATGAGCATAGTTTTTTAGGTTCCTATTGAATTTCCCATGCTGATTCTGTTTAGTCATTGTCACACATTTTTAATGGATGTCTCCAGAACTGGGCTCTGGCTGACAATTCTCCTTGGCAGTCCAAGGCCCAGCTACAAAAAAATTGGCAAATGGGTGGATCCTGAGCAGAGCTGGTGCAATGGGGAGGTGCTTTTGTTTTGCTTTCTTAAAATTGAATGTAGGGTCTTTCTTAACCATTATTCATGTTATAACTGAAAAAGTGTGTGTTATGCATGTAATCATAAAATCAAAGAAAATTAGGGTTGGAAGGGACCTCAGGAGGTCATCTAGTCCAACCCTTTGCTCAAAGCAGGAGCATCCTCAACTAGATCATCCCAGTCAGGGCTTTGTCAAACTGGTCCTTAAAAACCTCCAAGGATGGAGATTCCACCACTTCTCTAGGTAACCCGTTCCCCTGCTTCACTACCCTCCTAGTGAGAAAGTTTTTCCTGATATCCAACCTAAACTTCCCTTGCTGCAACATGAGACCATTGCTCCTTGTTCCGTCATCTGCCACTGCTGAGAACAGTCTAGCTCCATCCTCTTTGGAACCATACTTCAGGTAGTTATTAAAAGCTGCTATTAAATCCCCTCAGTTTTCTCTTCTCCAGACTAAATAAGTCCAGTTCCCTCAGCCACTCCTCACAAGTCATGTGCCCCAGTCCCCAAACCATTTTTGTTGCCTTCCACTGGACTCTCTCTAACTTGCCCACATTGTTTCTGTCGTGGGGGACCCAAAACTGGACAGTACTCCAGATACGGCTTCACCAGTGCTGAATAGAGGGGAAGAATCACTTCCTTGGATCTGCTGGCAACACTCCTACTAGTGCAGTCCAGTAGGCTGCTAGCCTTCTTGGCAACAAGGACACACTGTTGACTCATATCCAGCTTATTGTTCACTGTAACCTCCAGGTTCTTTTCCAATGATTCTGACTGGTGGATTGATGATGGGCAAGTGCGTGCACGCAAGACTGCCTGGAGTTGACCATATGTAAAGTCTTTTCCAGTAAGTGCTAGAGTTTTTTGTTAAATCTTTTCCCACAATGGAGAATGGTTTCTTGGGTAGCTGCTGCTGAAAAAGGATTTCTTGCTAATGGTACAGGAAGGTTGATGGATAAACCTTCTGTGCCTGGCACTGAATTTTTACCTCTCTTTAGGTCCTCCCACTGTCATCTGAGCCCCCACCTTTACTTAAACACTGAAAAAAAACAGGCCATTAATATCTCTGTTATGAAACATTTAATATGCTCTATTAATTTTTGTGTACCAAACACAAATCTGTAAGAACAAGGAAATAAATAGTGAAGATCCCTAATTCATATACATTTTACTCCTCTTACTACAGGCATAAACCTTGCTACAAGCACACCTAATGCACAACTCCCAGTACAGCCCTAACTCTGCACACAGAGGGATGCCAGCTGTCCAACACTAGATTTAATTGCCATTCTGCAAACACCTGTTTACTAAACTACTGTATCTGAACCCAGCAAAACATTCATGACGGCTCCTGGTGGGAAAAATATATCTTGTAAAAGAGTGTGCCCAGAGGTGGAAGAGAGGCCACACTACTGTTACAAGGCATGGTTTCTGGTATATAGGAGGACTGTGAGAAATTTTGCCGGCTGTTTTGATTCGACACTGTTTTGACTCATTTTGAGCTCGAAACAGCAAAATCTAATTGAAATGAAGGGCTTTGAAACAGCCTCAAAACAAAATGAGGCTAGTCAAAACGTTTCGAGTTTTGAAGCAACCAGCAGTCAGGTGGTGCGAGACAGGGGAGAACGAGGGTTGTGCTCCCAGTGGCTCCGCAACCCCATGTGGCTCAGCCAGGTAGGGAGCACAGCCCTGGCTCTCCCCACCTCCCGTGGCCGGTTGTGGGAAGCCGATCACAGCACAGGGGAAGGGAACTGAGCCCAGGTTTCATTCCCCTCCCCAGCGCTGTGATCGGGCTGGGGAAAGGAAGTCAGCCCAGCTACACTGAGTTCCCCTCCCCAGTGCTAGGATCGGAACGCTGTTCCGTCAAAACCTCGAAACTCAAGTCAAAACAGAACGGTGCCGTTTCGCACAGCCCTAGTATGTAAATATGGTAAATGGTACAGCGTGCATAAAGGACTGCAGGTTAGTTTTTATTAGTTGAATTAACTATTGATTTCCTTGGTTCTGTGCATGTGTTTTGGGAATGTTCTGTTGTGTCTGCTATGCCTACTTTCCAAAACAATTTTTTGTGCAGTAATACTATCAGGACTGGCTGCTTCTCATTCTTGGTAATAATTGTGAAGCCCTAATTACTGTAATTATTGTGCTTCCTGCATGCTGTTTTATTTGTATAATTATATCTGATGTTACCTGTTTGTAAATATTTTGTGATACTGAGTGATAGAAAACATGAGTTGTAGAAGAAAATTTATATATATATATATATATATATATATATATATACACACACATATATATATTACAGTGCTTATCTCCTTGAGGGTCTGACCAAAGGGGTAGGGGAAGGGCCATCCCTGAAGGAGGTGAATCAGGGCAAATGCCCCAGGGCAGAGCAGCCATGGCAACTCTGTGCTGCTGCCAGCTTCACATCCAGCCGCTCAACACCCCTCCCACCACTGAATCCGGCTTGTCCGGCTGCTTGGCGCACCACCCCTCCCTTGCCACTAAATCCACCGCCAGCTTCCTCACATCCAGGGGCAGGACCCTGCACTGGCTGATCTGCCCCAGGCCCTGCACCCTGCTTGGATCATCTCTGGATACAGGAATAGCCAGGCAAGGACAAGCGTAAACCTGAACTTATCTGCTGATCTTGTCACACCTTGCTTATTTCCTCATATCTCACTTATTTCCTTATATCTGAAGGCACCTTTCAAATGATCTCAGGGCACTCCAGAGTGCTGCGGCATGCTGTCTGAGGATCACTGACTTAGACAGACTGTGCAATTTCCATCCTGGAAGGGGAGTTTTTAAGAGTGGGTTGGACAAAAACTTGGCTGTGGTGGTTTAGACAAAAGATTAAACTAGCTAACCTCCTGAGATCCCTTCTGGTCCTATTTTTCTGTGATTTCTTATGTAAAATGATTGACATGTCAGCTTGGATTTTGGGTGGCCAGAAAAGTCAGTCCATTGTCTGGAAATTGACGATGAAATTATGTGAAATTGCTATACAGACATAGGTAGAGCTCACAAGACCTTCATCATATAACTTTTGCAGAGGGAAGAGATGGTTTAAGCTGTGAAATTCTTTGTAGGCCTCCAAGGGCCAGAAGCAGGAGGCACTGGCCAAAATGTCAGGGCCTGATCAACATTCACTGCCTTTAGTAGGAGCCTCAAGCAGTAAGTGAAATGTGTAAGACTGGACAATGGAGATTTGCTATGTTTTCCTACCATCCATATTATTATTGTACAAACAGGCTGGTTTCCAAAAGAAAAATCCCCAGATTCAGTTGAAGAAAATGACTTGGTTCAAATTAAAGCAGTTGGTAGTTACACAGTTTATAAACCTAAAGGAAAGGCCTCTGGATGAGCACAGGGGAGTAAGAGGCCCTTTTCAGATTGTCAAGGCCTCTTCTGGCATACTTTTTTGTCTCATCGGAACATTTTTGTGAGTGTTGGCTTTACTTTATATCAGGGGTGGGTAATACAAAATACAGCCTATGGGTCAGAGCCAGCCCACAGAAGGGCTTTATTTAGCCCGCGGCAGGTCCCTTGGTCCCACCTGGCCCATGGCATGTCCTGCAGTGGGTGGGGCTGTGCACTGTTGGTGGTGGTGCGGTACCCTCTGGGCTGTTGTGGGGTGGGAGCAGGTGGGGGGGGAACATGCAGGGGGCTCCCATGCACACTCCACTATACTTACAACCCCTCCCCAGCAAACCCCACAACCACACTCTCCCCCCACAATTACACACCCCACAAACACCGCACCCACCCATACCCTCCCCCACACACTCAACA